AGCCGCCCCTCGTGCTCAGTCGCCTCTCGCCACAGAAGTTGCCTGGCTGGGGGTCTCGCGCCCTCACGGAGGGCACGCGCCATCCTCCGCCGGGGTGGGTGGCAGCTTCTGCAGGCGTCCCTACCAGGTGCCAGGCGCCCTTCTAGAAGACAAGAGGACCACGGTTCCTGGGGTGACTCCTGCTGGACTTCACTTGGCAACATGATTCCTGAGACCTTCCCCGACCCCCGCGCCTGGGGTCCTCCTTCACTGAGCTCTCGGGCTGTCTCGGAACAACTAGCCTGCGGCCTTGGGGGGCTCTATGAAAAGCTGGTGGAAGGAACACAGGCACTTCCTTCTTTGCAATGTCAGTGGATGTATAAAAGCAGCTGGGGGGCTTCCTCCCTCCCTCCCTCCCTCCCTGGGCAGCCCAGCCCATCTCACAGCCCTGACTCCAGACAGCACACCAGGACTGAAACCACACGATGCCTCCATTGAAACAGGACCCAGCAAAAGCCCGGTCACCAGCAGAGCTCACCGACTACCTGGCCAAATGCCTGGGGGAGCAGCTGGTTCTTCAGGGCTGGAGGGAAGGCTAATAGGGCCCAGGCCACCCGGGGCTCTGGGGGTGCTGTTCCACAGGGCAGCCGCAGCCGCAGAGGAGGCACGGCTCCGGGGCCTAACAAGAGGATTTGTTCGATGGAGGGGCCTTGGTGCACACCCTCCCTGCTAGTCCTGGTGGAGCGAGCAGAAAAAATGGGGGACAAATATCCATGGAGGGCATTATAGGTAACCAGTCTGGACCACAGGCCACAGAGAATTTAAAGAGGGGGGGACAGATTCAAAGCCAGAGAACAGCCATGATGGGGGGAGATGTTCCTTCTCTCAGGAACAGAGCACGTTTCCCCATCCAGGGCAAGGCAGGAACTAGTTTTTCTTGATGCAGGAAGTTCCATGAAAATAACCCAGTGCTTCTTGGTGGTCAGTGGTGGGGCCCTTCACCTCCAGCCCAGAGCGCCCCCCCCCCAATTTTAAAGCGTGCTTAAGGAAGTCCAGCTCTGGGATAGCCGCCTGTGTTGATGGGCTGGGAGGACTGTGAGGAAAGTGAACGGAACGCAAGATGAGAAGATGCGTTGGCTTTCGCAGCTCCTGGCCAAGGAGGGTGAATGCCAGGCGTTTGGAAGGTCAGTTGTCAGGAAAGCTGGTCCAGAAGGCCACTGACCTTCCAGGGAGCACATCAGGAAAAAGGAGGGTGGAAACGGAAAGACCTTCCACCAGGGCAGGGCCTCTAGTGAGGGCAGGACGGGTGAGCTTAGGGCAACGCTTGGCACAGAGAACCCTCCAGCCTGGTGAGGTGAGCTCTGGATCCCGAGGCGTCCGGGGCTCCCGCTCCAAGGCAAGCGCACCATGGCTCAGATCAGACGAGGCAGGGCGTTCCAAAACGGTTTATTGAGAGTAAACAGAGTGGCAAATTAACACAAGACAGGGAAGAGAAACGAGAGCAGAGAGGTTAAAACAGCCCTACTGTCTGGACCCAAAGGGGCTGGGGAAGGGGCACGGACCAGAGGCCAAGCCTCAGCACTGTGAGGGGCTCCGTGGCTTCTCCCCTACACTCAGGCGGCGCAAGAATCCCACCAAACCACAGACTTCTTTGGAGGGAGGGGACACAGGACTCTCTGGCCCCTTTGCGTGGAAGAGGCCAGGCAAACAGAAGGTGCTGGGGGGGAGGGGGCCCTGGGAGGG